AATAGGGGAGACTAACCTATCCGGATCAAAGACAGAAACGGTAGCAACGGAAGAAAACTGCACACGTCTACGAAGGCTGCTACCTATGTATGAGTGTGTGTTTTCTAGCCTAGCGTGCGGGGGGGGCTGCTTGTTGTAGTCCTTTTCTGTATACTGTGTGCGAATGACGACCTGGCGGACGCTCTGTGTCTGATTCTTTACCTTAATCCTGCTCAGCCTAGATTGGACGCAACGTGTGATGGCCTCGACTTGAAATAGACAGCAAGTGAGTAGCGCTGGCTGTTCGCTACCCAGATGGCATGCACTACTTTGTACGTCGCATCACACCGCACTGAAAGACGCCTGAAAGCGTTCTTAACAAGCCCATCTTGCTTTCATTGTGCCTGCTACCATCTTGCCCAGGGGCTTGTGGCCAAGCGCTAAGGCTTGCAAGCAGTGTTGGAGCGGCTCCCCCCAAGGGAAAGACAAGCCCTCTTGGAGCGAGACGGAGGTGCTAAAGCTGCTCAAGATGACTTTCTCATGCCCCGAGATAGCCGGGGAGGGACCGGATGCCTCCGGCCGCAATTGGGCGGTAAACGGCGTCATGCTGTGCGCGGTGGTGGCTGTGGTCATATGGGCGCGAAGATGGACGGAGTTGAGGGGGATCGGGTTAAGCAAGAAACGAGGGGACTCTGCACCCGACGTGTGATGAATGTCATGGTCTGCTACGGGCGTTAGTGGTTAGTGGTACTGTAGGGGGTGGGGATCTTGCCAGAGAGCACCGAGCAGCCGCTGAAGCAACAATACGCCAGACTTGGATTAACGGATTATATCCTATCGCTGAGTTTTGCGTAGCAAGGACCAAGGACCGCTCGCCGACACATCTTGCTAACATTGCATCGTGCTGTTATCTGCGCTCTGCAGTACACGCTTCACTGATTGAGGCGTCATGGAATGCCGTTATACTCTGATTTCACATTTTGTCGCGTAATGATAGATGGTGTTTGAGGCTCGTTGTTCCTTGACCTCGAACCAAGCCAAGGGGCCGAGAGTGGGCATTTGAATCTTTTGAAGTTGAGTCGGGTGCTAACAATTGTAGAGTGGGTTTGCGTAGTTGAGTGTTAATACACTAGAAATTCCATGTTTGTTGTTGCGTATTTTATTACTTGTAGTGTTCCTGTGTTCATTGTGGGAAGATTGAATGGTCGGAAACAAGTCTCGCCCTCCTTGCCTCTACTATTTTTCGGAGTTTTGAAATTTATGTGCACAAGTCGTGTAACCTTGGTGTCAACCTGCAGTCAGTCACCCTGCTCATCATCTGTATGGCAACTGGCTGAAAACAGCGGTGGACGTCGACGTGTCGAACATGTCTTGTTCCGTTCGCCCAGTGCATGCCTTGAGTCGCCATGTCTATGACTCAACGAGGCAGCTGCCTGTGTGACGAAACAATATTTCGTTTCTTGGTTTGGTTGAATTGAATGTTGACTAGAATAGCACGCCACGCCATCGACCAACGCCGCAAACTTGACTGCCGGTTGCTCCGGTGTTGCCGCGTCGTCTTATTAAAATGCAAGCTACAATACCGACGATCAAGACGTGGACATCGAGGCAACAGATGTGTGTGTCCAACAGCTAGCTGTCCATGTGTGGCAGAGCCCCGTTTACGTGGTACAGGAACCTCCACGCCCGTCTACCGCATTACCAATTCGTCGGGAAACGTATTCCCCTGAGTGACGTGACCAATTATTGTAGGTGTTGAGATGAGACGAAAACTGCGGATCGTCGTCAACGCATTGACACCACAAATCCAGTATGGCATGGCAAGAAGAAAACGCCTGTGCATGCTGGACTACTCCATGTATAGAATAGCAGGTGCAGAGTTCCCTATGGCTGTCCTCGTCCTTCCCACCGTTCCTTGTGTCGTCACGTCGTCACGTACCTTGCAGGCACATTTATTCGACCAGGGCAAACCGAAGCAGCGTCACAGTACCTGCCACCAGCGATATCCTGGGGTCAGCGCGATCATGCAACACGCGCGGACAAAAGGAAAAACACTCAACACTACTAAAACACGACACCCGGGTAGGTGAGCAACGGGCCTTCCATTACTCCCCCCCCACCAATTACCAACAAGTCACGGACGCGTTTCACATCTTCCATTCACATATGCCGCGCCTGCCTACTTGCTGCCATCGCCGCCGAGTTGTTTCGTATCAAAACTCACTTGTATCTAGCAGAAGTGCCTCCACGCTAACATCCACAAAATCTTAATAACACTGGCTACTGGGTCCTACACTCGGGACAGATACACCCACCACGCCATTCCATTCCTCCCCGGCAACCTCTATGCCTTAGGCTTTTTCGACTTTTTGAAGCCCCCTCCTCTGCCTCCTCCCGCCTCCTCGTCCTTCTTCTTCATTTTTTGTACAGGCTTGAACACCGGCGCGTTCTTGAGCACGTCCGGCAATACAACGAGCTTGATGTGGCTGCCACGAAGGTAGACCTGTTCCAGCTTGCTCACACGCCCGTCCCTCCCCGTCATCGTCACTGCCATGTCGTGTCACGTCACGTCATGTCACGTCACGTCACGTTGTGATTGTCAATATCAAGTTTGTGTTCGACAACGTTCAACGGAGGAGACGTTGCGTCGGACGGGACGTTGTAACACAAACATGAGGCATCTCTCGGTTGGTTAGAATGAAGAGCACACATTAGGATAAGGCGTCTTTTCTTCCTATCATAATATGTAGCCTTAACATGCGCAGCCTCTTTGATGACGGCTTGATGACAGGCTTGGACTGTTTCTCGAGGTAGGTCAACGTTTAACGACCGCAAACATTGCCCCTAGGTCACACAAGCAGCACCGCGATCTGACATGAAGCTTATGAAGGTGCGTTTGCATTAGTTGACAGAGATTTCAGATGATGCGGGCATACTGCTGTATCATAACGCAAAGAGCGTGTCGATCTTGCCCCTTTTTACCCCCAGTGTCACCTCCCGTCATGAAGCAGTTCATGGTGTCCTCTGCCTCATTCAAGTGCCCCCGGTAGATCTCCCCGTTCTTCATCTCAACCGTCACCCCATGCCCCTCGCCCTCGTGGAGGAGCTTGATAGGAACACCCACAGCTGATTGTTATAGTTTTTTGTTTCAAGACAAGACGAAAGAAACGCACAGGAATAAGCGAACATGTTGATTGTTATCCATTCAGGTCATCGGGACAAGCGTCGGGAAAACGACAACAAGGTAGACATCGCTTGGCGGTATAGTTTAGATGAGCGGATATCATTCCTTCTGTGCATTACAGAAAAAAACTCACACACACTGTTGCCACCAACCACAGCATCCCCTTGGCGATGGACGTGCTCGTGGTAGACAACGGTCCTCCGACGTGCAAGAGGGCGGAGCGTTGTGAGAATAAACGTTAACAATGGCGTTGTACTCGTCTCAACTGCCAGTCGACATGTCTGTAGCACATCCCTTACCAATTACAAAAGAAAGGCAGCTATGAAAGGTGCTCATGCACGTTCCAAGTTGTCGGTTGTGGTGTCGTGGCAACCAACGTGTTATGCAGGTAATCATGCGACATGTAACTCTGAGACACAACTATGTACATAAGCATGTCTCGGCCTATGCATAGACCAAGTGCCCTTTGCCTATTTGCAGCTCGGCAAAGCTACAACAGTAGACATCGGGGTGGCTAACGGGGGAGGGCATGTTTTCTGGCTGCCTACATGCCTAGGTTGCTTTGTGATCATGCATCATGAACCATCCGATTTGCACCCCTCCTTTCCAGACGGGGTACCCTAAACCACATACCGCAACTACTGCTACACTTATACAGCTGTACACCGGCACTCTCAACGACACCTTCGCATTCTCGCTGCTTATCGCATCTCCGTCCTCGTATCTACTGTACACTAATCAGAAATCGTGTGTGAACCATGTACCTGTCTAGTGTTGGCCGGGGTTGAGATTCTTCGTTCCTCATGTGGGCTACGGATTGCAAATTACCGATACATAAATTTTTGTAAGGGTTCCTAACCGGGCTTACAAACGGTGCTCAAGTTGTGATGTGTTCGATATAATGTCATCAAGTCCACAGCAGTCTTTCAGCGTGTGGGAGGAGAGGGGGAGGGGGGGTCAAGACATGATTTGTGCTTGATACATGTGTGGCACAAATGCGTGTTGTTCCCGACGCTTGGAATAACAAAGAGGGGGGTTGGGCAGCGGAGTATAGCGGGCGAGCCCCGGTGATTGATCTACAACCTGTTCTCCCGCTTGATCCATCTCATTACGTATTTCACAGGAGCGCGAAAAGTCGACTAATATCTACAGCCCATTGAGAGAGAGGAGAGGTAACAAAGACCACACCAAATACTGGCCGCATCCAAACGAAAAAACAAAGATCAATTACCAGATCTTTGCCGTAGCTTGTCGATCAATTCCCACCATGCTGATACTGATGTGCAGACAACGGACTAGTGTTGCGTCCATACGCGATCATTGCTTGGTTGACATGCCGGCTGCCGGCTACGTGACCTGGGAAAGCTGTTATCCTCTCTGGGGCAAGAGCAAGGATTCGATCGCAAATCAGCAGACGTCCACCAGATTTTGCAATGCTCGAAGCACTTACCGGCCATGTTTCCCGCTGTGCTGATACTTAGGACAAGCCCTCCTCTCCTGGCTCCACTGCTCTACGTAGCTCCAGCGCGAGGACTCTCCTCCTCAGCTGTCAGATGCTGAGCAGGTCTACCGACAAATTCAATATATCGAGTTCTTTCTCTCTGATCTCCCCAATGCTCAGTCCTCGCGCAAGTAGCTTGACAAGCACAACAATGGAAGCAGCTCAACCTGTCGTAAACTGTTGCTGTCTGTGCGCGAGAGGCAAGGGACGTACTTGGCGCTGTCTCTTAAGAGGTGCACGGCGGGGGCACAACAAGCGGGAAAAGGAGGATATACCCCCCTCCCCTTTTTTGCCCATACGGGGAGGTGAGTGACGAGGACACAGCGGAGTCGGGCACCTCCCTGCTGCTTTTGCTGCCACAGGAACTAGCAGCCTGCTGCTGCTGCTGCTGGTTGGCTATCAGCTTCATCAGCAGCAAAAAGCAGTGCCAAGGTGCAAGGTGTAAGCACTCAAGGCTACTCTGAAACAGCAGTCCGCGAGCAAGGCGCATACCTCACACACCAAAAAACATGCGACTGTTGCAGCAGCTGTCCGTGTGTTGCGCCGTCATCGGTAGCAGGGCATGGACGAGCCAAGCGTTCCTGCTGTCTTCAGGGGTAGGGCGGCTCTCGCGATCCATGGTCATGCTTGGATCTACCATATCGGACGTCCGCATCCACAAAGACGTTGTCGTGATCGGTGGTGGCCTCGCCGGACTCTCGACGGCCTTGGAGCTGGCAAAGCGAGGGAAGCAGGTAACGGTGCTGTCTCGCAATCGTGCGGAAGCGGCAGCGGAGGCTGCCGGGGGGATGATTGCTCCTCAAGCAGAGCGGTTGGAGAGCGGGCCTTACCTCGATCTTTGCTTGACGAGCCGGGCGATGTACGCGGAGTGGGTCCGGAGCATCGAGGCGATTGCCGGGATGGGTGGAGAGACGGCTGGAGAGCAGACTGCTGCCGAGACAACAAGGACACACTTCTGGAGCTCGGGAGGGTTCATGAGTCCGGCCTTCGAAGGCGATGCTGTGCACGTGTGGAGCCCTCCGCCTGAGGGGGGGCAGGCCCATTGGATCGGCAGAGACCAGGTGTGCCTTGTGCGTTGGTAATTGGTCGCCGAAACTCTTCTTTGCTCAGTCGCAGCGGTTGTAAATGGAGTGCTTGTACCTGCCGTAAGGTTCAACTTGCGCTTGGAGTTACAGCAGTATGTACGCACAACAACAAACCAGCACGGTTCCCTCCACCGTACAACTTGTACGATACAACTGCGGTAGAACATCTGCTGCCAGCCAGTGCCATAGTGCCATGTTTTGCAGGACAGCAGCCTTGTTATACTGCAGAATTAGCTCGTCTTTCTCTGGTTGTACTCTCACAGTAAGTAGGCGCAGAGAGCAGAAGTCGCTTGAACATACTGCTGTACCAACACAAGTATTGCAAATACTAAATACGTGGTCCCGGTAAAATGCCGATGGATCCAGCTCGATTTCACCGGCATTATAGCGGGCGACCGGCATAGTTCAGAGTAAACAACTTGAACATTCCATCTGTGCCAGGCGATTTCACGGGCATTATACAGGGAAACCGGCATTGTTCGACAGGCGTTATTCCGGGACCACTACTGCTGTATTGCATGTACAGCAGTGGAGGAGGGGAGGGAGGAGGGAGAGCCAAGACCACGAAACTTCTCTCTGTAAAAAAATATCGAGACCATTATACACGTACCTTGGCATGATGTTCCAGCACGGTCGTGTAGGGTATGTATAGTCAACTCGCATCCGGCGGGGGTTTCACCCACATGTTGAAGTAAACTCGTATGCAAACAATGTATTCCCGGCGATCGGGTAGGTTGAAGAGCATCGTCAAAATCTACCTGTGTGGGAGGTCTTGGGTCACTCCAACATCTCCTGTGCGTGGATACAGACAACAGCAGTAGCGAGCTTCGACTGCTGTGCTGCTGGAAATATTGACGGCCGGAAGACCACCCCCAACGATCTTGCAGGAGTTCACCCTCCCGCCTTCCGTGTTTTCCTTCAGGCTTTGGAAATGGAGCCTTCTTTGTCTCCTGATATCGTTGGGGCGTGGTGGTTTCCCCAAGACATGAGCATCGACGCGCAGCGGATGTTCAGGGTGTTGGAGCAGGCGTGCAGCAAGGGCGGTGTGGAGATACTCCAAGGGTAAGAAGTATATAGCCAGGCAAGCAGTAGGTTCACCGCACACACAAGCCTCAGACGTGCGGTTGGGGTTGCGGGAGAAAAAATGCCAAGGTTAAGGTTTTCATTGCGAGGTTGTTGACCGGGGTTCAGCAGTAGAGGCGAGCGGTACATCAAGATATTTTCATATTCATGGATTCTTAGCGCGGAGCTTGATGTACTGAATTTCACGTGATGCAGCAACATAACATGGATACACATTCACATTTCACGCGGACCTATCTCCTGTCGTTGGTCGATGTCTCTCCCTCTTCCTCCCTCCGTTTTTCCCGAAACCTCCCAAAACCGAACACAGGACGGCGGCAGCTAGCCTCGTATACGACAGCGAAGGCACGTCCGTGGACGCCGTAGTGTTGGAGGACGGTCGGCAAGTTCACGCCAATGCCGTTGTTTCGGCGACAGGCGCCTGGATGCGCGAGCTAATGCCGGTCCCCATGGTGCCGCACAAGGGGCAGATGATGGCACTCAGGGAGCCGGCGGGTGGGCTGGGTGCGGGAGCGCCTAGGCAGGGTGGGGGAATCGGTCTGACACGCGTGTTCTTCGCGGAGGGGTGCTACATTATCCCAAAGAGGGATGGTCGTGTCGTCGTCGGCTCCACGGTAGAGGTGAGTTGTTCGTGATGTACTTGGCTTGTATTCCGTACCCGATGTTAGTTGAAGGTCGGCATAAGGGGAGTCGAAAACTCGTGGCCAATTTTTCGTGAGGACATGTCGACCCCGGACATGGGTGATTCATGCAATTTTTGTGTTAGATGTGCTTTTATTGCTGCGGATGCGTACATATACACAGGCTGTGTTGTTTTAAAGTTGTTATTACGCTGCGGTTTTTGCGGCACTGCTGTGATATACTGCTTGTGGCCAGAGTGGTCGTGTTGCGGAGTGTGGTGCAGTAGCGGGTGAGACTCTTGTGCCTTGACGGTAGCAGGAGGCGGGGACTTTGTTCATCATTCATCGCAACCATCCGTCACATTTCTGATCGCGTGCAGCCGTGCACATTGTGCTTTGATGGTATGGTACTCGAGCACCGTAGGTCGGATTCGTTGGTATGATAGGCTACAACGAGACTACAGCAAGAACGACCGGACGATCAGCATCAGCAGCGCTGCCTTGCTTGCTACAGCAGGAGACCCGAAACAAATTTGTTCTGCTACGAAAGTGATAATGTCCCACCGTTTCTGGCCTTATATCGACCGACCAACGTTGCAGGTGGGAGAGTACGGTATTTACAACACCCCGGCCGGCATCAAGCAGATCATCGACGCCGCCGTGAAGGTCTGCCCCGCTCTCGCAGATCTGGCGATAGAGCGCACGTGGGCGGGATTGCGGCCGGTCACCCCCGACTGCTTTCCGGTGCTCGGCGCCTCCCCCCGCTGCCCTAACCTCTTCGTCGCTGGCGGGTACTGGCGCAACGGCGTTCTGCTCGCCCCTAAGACGGCGCAACTGGTGGCGGACGCGGTTTGCGGCCTTCTATCTCCGCAAGACGAAAGTTTCTTGCAGGAGTTCTCCATGGACCGGTTCACCAAACTAGGGGAATCGGCAGCGGCAGCAGCGCGGGATGATAAGCCTCGTGCTCAACCCGCCGCTGCTGTGGAACCACAACGGCCTGCGCCGACGGGAACGTTTTCATCGTCGGGTTCGAGGGCAGAAGGTTTCATTTCGGAGGCCTCGCCATCCGAGGTGTTGGAGATGGAGCGCGCGGCGTTGGAGGGTGCCAACGACGCGAGCATACTGTCGGCCCTTGAGGGCATGTTCGGCGAGGGGATGGTCCCGGTGGAGGTTAGTCGACGAACACTGACGATTTCGCTCGAGGACGGCTATGCTGTCGTCCGGGGTGTCCCTATGGTGATGATATGTAAGGTTTTGGCTGTACACAAATTTCTGTGGGCTGCAAGATGATACCTTTTTGTTTGCCGAGTGTAGTATTTTTCTTTGGATCCCGTTTGTTTTATGTTTTTCGGGTTTCATTCTCATCCCTCAGGTGGAGGAAGATGACGCATCAAGAGACGTGCCAAGCACCCATGCCTCGAGCACCAATTCGGCTCCTGCTTCTTCTGCTTCTGCTTCCAAAGTACAGGAACCGGTGAACGACTATCACGCAAGGTGCGGCTATTGAAGCAGGACTAAACCTGCCCAATGGTTGGACACGAATATCCTAGGCAAGCTTATCGCCACAAATTCAGCATCGCTCGCTACTCCCGAACAATCCCACATACGTACGCGCCGCTACAGAGGGCACTTCGCGAAGTTGGTTCGGTTGCCATAAATGTTGTGCCGGGCCACATCGCAGATATTCAAGTTCTAGGTATAGTCTCCTTCTCCGCTCTTGCTTTCAGCCTTAGCCCAACCTCAGTTGGACTCAAGTGATCCAACAACGCTACAATAATCTATCAGTAACTGTTGTGAAATGTTTGTCGGTCCCGGATGTGTTGACTCCACTTGTCCTGCCTTGTCCCATCGGCTACCGTTGGTTGGCACCGTCGTCTATCACAGCGAGCAATTCTCTGAGGAAAAGTTGAAGGAGGCACGGATGGCCAACCGCATGCTACAGGAAGACAGCTCCGATGCGAGACTTGAGTCTGTCTTCGGCGGTGGTCCTGAGGAGGCCGGGTTTTCGGAGGGAATCGCAAACATTAACTCGTGGGACGATGGGGCTGCGGAGGTTGCCAGCATCATCGGGGCCGAGGTGTGTTTTCCGTCCATCATTTTCATACACTGCAAAAAAGGTGAAGATGTTAAAATGTAGATAGGTCTTCTTCCGGCGGGGAGCGGGACCTCTCCGCACAGTGAATTAAGTTTTTATTTTCGATTATTATAGGTCTCTTGGCCATTATTTGTTTACCTTTCACAGCAGCGTGTATTGTTACGTCGCTGGGCGGTGTTTCCAATTAGGGCGCGATGAGATCGCTCCAGGCCTATGCAAAGAGACGCTTTCTTCCATGCGCTTTTCTCTGAACCTGTAGCGTCCTTGCCTATACCCCAACCTCTTTTCGCAGCTGGTGGAGATGGAGGTGGACATCCCAGACGGCATGACGATCGAGGAGGCGCTGGCTGAGCAGGGCCCGATGATGAAGGTATTGTTGGAGAGCCCTTCTGGCGAAGAGGTAGAGGTCCCAAGAGGGATGAACGTTGCTGGCATGGTGGAAGCGGGACTCATCGCACCCGTGGGCGAGGCAGACGATGACGGGGAAGACTTCTTCGGCGAAGGGGGTGCGGGGGCACGGGGGTGGAAGGTGCAAGAACCCCCTGCCGGCACGTTTGACCCTTCGGCCGTTAAGGGTGCGGGAGAGCGAAGCACGGAGGTTAGCGAGCTGTACGCCAAAGTTATGGCTAACAAGGCCAAGGCCAAGGGGGTCGGGGGAGGAGAGACATCGAAAACGAATTCCCCGTCTACTACGCGGAACGGCCACAACGGGATCAACGTGAAGGTGAAGGATGGAGCAAAGGGTGCGAGCTCTTGGCTTGGTGACATCCTCGCCATGGGTCAGGGGTCAGGCGGCTCCAAGGAGAAAAGGGAGGTCGAAGATACGCACAGAAACAGCGGCGAAAAGGTCGAGGGAACAGCTCATGTCGGGGCAGGCGCGGAGGTTTCCTCCGAATCAGATGGGGCAGCAGGAGAAGCGGAGGAGATGGTTGGTTACGACTTCATCCTGAAAGACAGAGGGGACGAGGAGGGAAAAGTCGCAAGAAGCGCGCGGGCTTTGGCCAGGTGCGTGTTGTTCGGTACTTTCTGCGGTCCTTTGACAGCACTTTGGTGACAATAAATAGCACCATCCACGAGCCTCAACGTTTCTGTTAAAAATTGTTAATTTTGGGTTTCTTTTTTAGCAGTTGCTCCGAGTGAGGTTTCCGTTTTGCACCTTGCTTGACAACGCTGCGTGGTTTGGTCAGCTAACACGCCCGTCTCTGTGGTGCCCTCTGACAAACGGGCCTGTCTGTAACATGTAACGACGTAACAGGGACGCTCCAGAAGGACAAGAGGCGTGGGAAAACTATGAGAAGATCGCTAACGAAGCCATGGCGAGTGTGGGGGGGATGGAAGCTGTCGAGTATTTGCCTCCATGATCACTCCCGAGGCGGCGCCGTGCGTGCCGTACTGTACGGGATCGTGATGGAAGGGTCTGCTGAGGAGCTTTGGTTGAGTTAAACAGTATGGTCCGTAACTATGGACACACAGGTCTGCATTGCCGAAGGATGGCGTCATGGGCGTGACGTCGTGGCGCCTTGTACGGGACCACGGGTGCAGTATCGTATCATGCCTTGTAGATTTGCTTTGCGATGTGACTTGCAGAGATTGTCGTGCGACAGCCAAAAACTCGTATTAAAATAGAAAAGAGTCATGTACATGGGACTGCAGCGACAAATTGGATCAAAAGCGCCTTCGTGGGACTACAGTACATGGTACAGGCCGCTTATCGACCACCGGGAGGAGGAAGCGCTGCTGCTCGCGCCGGGTGGCTTCCGTTGCACTTGCTATTGCTGTTGCTACGGCGTGACTGTGTAGGACACGACATGACATGACACGCGTGATTCTCCGGAGATGACCTTAAGCTTCTGTTGCGGTAAGCTGATGCAGGAAGATGGTCGTTCTAAAGAGTTTCAAGAGGCGCTGATGGCATGACGAGTGTGTGGCATGCACCATCACAACCATCACGTCGTATTTCCCTGGATCCAACTTGCGGGGCACCCGGAAATTGTTCACAAGAGCCATTCATTGGGTTGATCGACTTGTCTTCCTTTGGCACAAACCGACCGATGTAGACGTAGGAATGCAGTATTCTACGCATATGTACATGTACAGCAGTACTCCGTTGAAACAGGTTTAGCCTTGCAAGATAATACAAACTGGAGGGTGGAGACGGACGTCTACGAACAAGTAACAATGGTGAGTAGCACACGCTATGTAGATGCTTCGGGTCAAGATTCGATGAGATCAAGAGCCAATTTCGAGACGCTACTGGAACCTTTACAACGCCCACAGAAAGCAGACAGCAGACACCAAGGCAGGCGATGTTGTTCGTCCAACGGAAGCAATATCGGATTCAAAGGAGATGACAGTCCTACAATGCTGCACCAATCCAACGAAAACCAAAGGCCAAGCCCTTTTGAACGCGTAACGCGTATCGGGAAAAAAATTGTATCGAGTGCAAAAAGTCATGCCAGAACTGGGTTGCCACATACCTCGGCTACCGCATTGGGGTTGCTTTCGGCAATTGCCATGGCAACCACACAATTCGTAAGGCTACTCAAAATCAACGGATGGCGTGACTCCACCAACTAGTGCTGCTCGTCCTCAGCCCACTGCACGACTACGCTGCTGAGGGGGAATAACTACGCCATAGCTCAGCCCAACACCTTGTCTAGCTCTTCGACGTCTAGCTTGTCATCCGCCGCCCCTGCTGCTGCTGTCGGTCCTGCATCGTCGGTGAGGCTGTTCAAAAAGTCGTCTAGGTCGTCATCACCAGCAGGAGTGGCTGCCGCGGTCGTTGCATACCCATACATCGCATGGCATAGAAAACGTACAACAGCGGTAGGGAAAAGAGGGTAACTTGTCAACACGTGAAGATGGACGAGGCAAGGGAATCAGAGCAGCAAGCCAATTTAAGCAGTACATATCGGGAGGAGGGGAATACTGCAGAAATGTTGACACAGGGGGAGAGCCGAATGATTGGAAAACGATTGCGTGCCACGCCATATTTCCCATTCTCATTCTCATTTCTCAGCACCCAAGTGCCACTCCACAGCTCCCCAGGGACAGCGCACCCTTTGTCCACCCTTTGTCCACCCTTTGTCCACCCTTTGTCCACCCTTTGTCCACCTGCGAAACAGATCAACAGAACTTACGCGGCAACTATTATACTGTAACTACACTACACTCCTGGTGAAAATCTGAATGCTGCAATGTGTATCGCAGCGATCGCAGCGATGCGCAACAGCAGAGTGGTGCACTGCTGGGTCACAGCAGTGATACACCCAACGTCGATGTGGATTATATGGGCAGGTGCTACCTGGCGGGGGTATTATGCAGAGACTGTCGGCAAAACATCACATCCAACGTTACCTTTGGGAGGCTCAGCTGCTGGTGTTTTGAGTGGGACAGCTCCTAGCTTGGTCACGCCGCCACTTGCACCCTTCCCCGGAACCGTGGGAGCTTTGCCTTTCCGCAACTCAGCGAAATCGTCACCGTCATCGCCGATTGAGAAGGTTGACATCTACGTAGCAGCAGCAGCAGCAGCATACAGCAAGACGTGACGTGCGGCGCAAAGTTGTGGCAGTAGCTCGTCAGAGACCAAGTTGTTTCAATGAAGACCACTATTGTCAGAGAGTCTATGCTTGCGTGTACTCACTGACGGTGCAGCGTGCGGTATCTCATTCTTGACTGATGTCAATCTGAATTGTCGCCAAAATCATCAACAACAAAGTGCACAGCTTAAGCTTTCCGTCGACACCGGGCACCGTGAACAACGGCCGGCACTTGGCTGGGTGAGCTCGAACTCTGACAAGGTCAAAATAAATGTGGAGCATAACGAGGTGCGGTATTGTGCCACACAGTACCACACCGCACCGCACCGCAAAGGTCATTGCACAAGACCACAAGGCCACAAGACCTCCAACCTACCTTCCCTTTGAGGGGGTCCTCGCTGCCACCATCGAGGTCTAGCAGTGGTGCCGCTCCCCCCGCAATTGGAGTATCATCCTCCACCGCAATTGGAGTACCCTCGCGCTCGGCGTCTAGCGTGCGAAGCAGCGCGTCGTTGATCTGACAGCGGAGTGGAGTTAGGGTATAGTGTTAAGTGCAGTCCAACAAAATGTCTGTGTTGTGTTGTGTTGATGGCGATAGACTCGCGCGGGAAAAGGAATCCTGCTGTTCTCAGACCGGTGCCGATGCCTCGGCGCTACGTTACGCCGCCGCCTCCGATTTAGAAGTCTTGAGAGCCAGTTGATTTTCGTACACCATCATCCCGTTAACGTTTGAGGCATGCCTAAAATAAAAGAGTCGACGAGATATATACCGAGGAGAGGAAAACCTTTGCGGAACGTTGCCCCTTCCTCCGGCAAAAACACATTTTGGCGTTGCACCCACGACACCATCAGCCAGCCATGCAAACGAACAGACGTTACACGCACGTACAATGCACTGCCAAAGAACAATATCCAGCATCAGAAGAATAGAAAAGCACACGAGGCGAGCCGCTCGCCGAGAAACTACTGTACTGTACTCCCTTCCTCAACACTTGTTCGTGCACCCTACATGCACATGCGCGCATCGAACATGCAGTAATTAATGTACATACCTGTAAACACTTGGCGAAGGTGTCCTCTCCAAGGGCGCCGCCCACCCCGGCCTCTACAAGATCAACCATCCTAGGTCGACATGCCTCGAGGAAGCCGACCACCTCTGACAGAGCCGGGTCCTTGTCCACGCCAGCCGACTCGGGGAGCATCTCACGGCACAAGGTGATCTTGTCCTTCACCATCTGCCCAAAGGCAACGGACCATGGTGCCGCATCGTCGTACCAAACAATCGCAGAGCAAAAAGCAACGAGCAAAACAGCGCTGAAACCCCGATCATGTCGAAGATAAAACAACACAATCAGTCCCACGAGCGTGGTACAAAGGGGATGAAACCGGGGCGTGTGTCGTCGAGGCCTAATGGAAAGGCTGTTTCGGTCTGGCACACATGGTGCTCTGGGAGAGAGAGAAATGACATCGTGCAAACATCACAGAACCTGGCGTCTGTCGATGCACAACCTCTGCGACTATGAAGACACTGAAGCTGAAACCTTGGACAACAAATAGCGGCACTGCGCTAACAGCCCATGTGTTCACAGTTCACAGGTATATGTATTGAAAAATTATTTTCTTCGCCTCACGGACAGGTCGACATGCTGCAGAAAAAGGATTGGAAATGTTTTGTGAGGTACAGCAGTAGGGGCGACCAGACTCATGCTCGGGGAACTCAAGAACTATCACAGCGATTGATAGCCGAATCACCAGCGAGTGCCTTAGCTCGAGTGTACTGTACCCGTCACCCCAGACCAGACGGGCGTTCTCAACGATAACTAAGCACGGCGCGGAGTTTCGTCACCTCTCAACCGTATCCAACTGGTATAAGCCTCTTCGGGAGACAGTCTAGGTGGCTTGCCCCCTGGGAGCGACGCAAGCGGATATGACCAACACTATCGCGGTCGCATCGTTGCACTCAGCGCCATGAAATTCGGTAGCGAGTGTCGGTTTTTCGTATACTACACCTGCTGAAATTGCCTGGAATTTTGCATCATGTGTGGGGTATTTTTTTTCTCGCCGTGACTCTTCGCGTGTGCGTATGTGTGTGCTTTTTGGATACTTGTAGTCGCGTCTTTCCTGCAGGTCCTACTGCTGTAATCCGCTGCGTTTGATCACTCGCTCTTGCGTATTCGTGGTGCCCATGGTCTGTGGGACTGGTCGTCTGTGCGTGGGAATCAAAACAAAAGTCTTCCTGTTTTATGCATCAGCAGTTTTTTTTGTTTTTCTCTTCGCGCGGAACGTCCTCGGGGTATAGAGCCAGTTCTTTTAACTGTGGGAGTCACGCACAAGCGCCACCTGATGGTCCTCGGGTGTGCGCGGAAATGTACCGACGATCCCCCGGCGTGCCCCTGAGAAGGACGTGTGAGAAAAGACTGACTTCTGCCAGCGAAAGATATCCCGAAGCACGAATCCAGGAGAAACGGTACACAAACGTACACAAAACCTCATCAGACCCTTGTGCAGAAAACCAGGGGCCATCAACCCAAATGCACAGAACGGGTGTAGGAAAGTAGGAAGCACCTGGAGATCTTCTTCTAGCTTCTCCATCGTTTGGGGGGGCGCTTCGGCTGCACTCCTCACTCCTCCTCCCCCGCCCCCCCCCCCGCCACCGCTGCCCGCCATAGTTGCGGACGAGGAGGATGAGGCACCGTATGACGCCGCCGCAGGCGTGAAGGCTGTGGTTGCTGCGTCTGTTGCCTCTGGGAAACGAGCACCCTGGGCCTTCAGGCTGCCCATCACCACAGGAGGATACATGCATACAGTATCGCACCAAGTCGACAACGTCACGTGAACAAATATAAAAAAATGGGCTATGGTCACGGGGACACGGGGAGAGGGGAGAGGTGTCATGTCATGTCATGTCATGTCATGGCATGTCATGTCATGTCATGTCATGTCATGTCGATGGAGATTTTTCGCGCGCATAGAACCCTTCTTGCGACAAAAAGTAGGGCAAGCACCGCAAGGGGGACGGTGGGGTAATAAAACACCAACAAAAAAATGAAAAAGCTCCTGTGTGACCTTCCTTGAGTGTGACCCCCGCTGATGCGTTAGGAACATACGTCGAGAGGCCTGTTAACCGGCGCTACAATAGATGGGACAAACACACACACATATCAGCAGCGAGGGCACGACGATCTCCTGTGAAACGATGCACCAAACATAACGCCAGCTAAAGCGAAGGTTGACTTCTTTCGATGTGCTCACGTCAGTTTGCAGGTATAGCTGTGATTCGGGAGCGCGGCCGACGCTGTGCTCTCTGCCGCACCGCCCCCGCGGCTCTCAACGAACACGTTCAACGCAGCCAAGCTTTCAATCATTGCTGGAGGAATCTCATCTATTCTACTTGAACACCACTGCACCGCGCTGAACGAAGTTGACACAGATATGCACACCGATTCTGCTGGAAAGCAGACGCACGGCAACAGCGGTGACACTGCTGTGCTGCTGTACAGGCAAGGTGTGGCTCATTACGGAGGACACCATGCACCCAAGGATCAGGCCGCTGGGGTTGGTTCCTTGCTCACCGGCCGTATGTTTCCGAGTAGGCAAGGCTCCTGTCCGATTGGAAAGCTATTCCCCAGTCTTGGATAAGACCAAGAGCACGAGAACGCACCTGATGCGAGATAGTACGGGTACAGACGACGACTAGACAAGTGGACCAAACATGACATGATACCTTTTCAAGGCTTGCAGGTTGCATGATGCAGCAGTGGGACGCGAGGTGGAGAATCTACAACTATTGCTGTATTCGACGATCGTAAACAACCGGAACAGCGAGCACCAATGGTGTGCATACCACGCTGTGCAATGTAGTATGTACGAAGTCTGCATATAAAAAAAACAAGAGCATGTCCTGCTCCTTATGTTACAGCTATCGACTCTATCTTCTTCTCAGCAGTCGGCACATACTCCGGCAGAGGACAGCAGTGCTATACATGTCATGTGGCACACGTTCGATATGTCCATATTTCGAACAACCTTCAGCAGTACGCTCATAGCCCCCAGCAGCAACGTCACATCTACACAATTGTATACTATGCATACAGCAGTACTGGGACGTCGGGACAGCGGCGACAGATAGATAAATGTACATGTACAAGATGCTGCATGCATATTACCTCATATCCCTTCTGTCCGTTGCATAGCCCTGCGACCTCTGCCAGAAACTCTCTTGCGCCGAGAGCTCGGTGAAGCGGCCTGGAGCAGTTCTTCATGGTCGTCTCGCACAGAGTTAACGTCAGCTCAAGAATTTTCGGGTTGTCGCTCTTGAGCCGGCGCTTCAAGGCCTTGGCGGCGTGACTCGGTCCATCTCCCTGATGGTTGATCTAATCGAGCAACAATCAAGAGCAGAGATCACCAGGCAAATGAGTCTACATGGTGTACCACCACAGCAGTGGATTACGTAGGTTAAATTAAGCCCTTCTGTTGCACAACTGCGAGCACAGCACTCCTGCCCAGCCTACTGCTGTGAAAGTGTGAAGAGGAGCTGTACTGCGTGGTATGTACTGCTACAACCGGAATTCGGAAGATCGTTTGTGATGTTCAACTTGCGAAAAAAGTGTCGGAGGAACACACAAATAAACCATTTCCCAAAAACACCACCACACGCGACCTACGACAGTGTCTAACGTATGGAGGAACGAGAATACTACACATGCTCACCTCATCGCAAATTTGCATGTTCAAAGCCCAGTCCGTGTTGACGAGGGACTCGGAAGTGGCTTTTTCGATCAGCGACCCTATGCCTGTAGTGAATTCGGTGCCAGGGATGCCGATGTTTGCTAAGAAATCCATCCTGTCTGTTCTTCGGCTGCGCTGTCTAGTAGCCTTGTTGTAGATAGCAAACGTGCTGAGCAGGTTCGCAGCGCAGGCTTTAGAAAGGAAGATGAGCCACTGGCCCGCTGCCTGCGGTGTTGCTGCTGCAGAGAGAGAGACGCAGCTCCATCCGAATCCCCAACCAATGCACAGCGTACAGCGCACAGACCACAGGGCACAGGTGATGGAGGTCCGCGGAATCACCTTGACTGCTGTCGTCACACCCGATCCAATCCAGCGCCCCCCCCCTCGCGACAATAGAGCAACAGACCAAGACAAGCAAGCAAGAGATAGCACAACCATAGGGCGTGAAGAGGGCTCTTAGAGAGCGACAATGGCACGACCATCGAAGAGGTGAGTGTCGGCGGTTATTATTGTGACCACCAAGCTTGGATTTGGACATGGACAACAAAAAAGGAGACAGAGGGTGTCGATTTCGATACACTTGGTTTTGGACTGCAACAGCAGGACTCCGCGCTGTTCAACCGCTGGTTTGCCTGCTGTCGACTGCTGGTTTCGCCAACCAATCGCTGGGTTACCGCGATGGCACAACAGCGCTGCATGTAGTTTCAATCCAATTGTAGCTGTGTGGCATGCATGCACCTCTCCTGTTGGTATTTGTTTTGTGTTTGTAGGAGGAGAGGAGATACTTGTACGTCTAAAGTAATGTTTTGGCCAAGTTCGAGGTGACGGCGCCAACCCGGATACAGGGCGGCGACCCGGATATGTACAGAGACAGCGGGAAACAGTACAACTTGGCGAGAGCGACAGCGTGTATATGGTGTATGATGTAGGCGGGGGTCGAGGGCACACCCCACACAACATGCCACATGCCAGTCGGTGTCGCAACAAGGTGAAATTACTTCCAGTTCAACAAGAAAGGGAAGGGGGACCTGCTGGTACGAAGCTGGTATTCCAACACCAGTACATTGCACAGCAGTATCGTTTCGAGGGTGGTCGTTACATACGTATAAGTGGTTTCGCCTCGCTGGCTCGCTGGTGCAGCAGTACAGAGAATGATGAACCAGCGATGAATATAACACAGGTACCGCAGTGTAGTCTACCCACACACGCTTTCGATCTACAATTATATCTCGGTATCGATGGACATTTGCTGCTCTCGCACAGCAGTGTACCAGGTGCAGCTCACCTTATGCATCAGCGCGATCACATATCACCGGTCGCCCCGGTGGTCTAGTGGGTAGCCTCGCAGCCTGATAAGGGCCAGGTCATGGGTTTGAGTCCCGGCAGAGTGAGTTTTTCTCTCACTAAATAAGCTCGTTGTTAGTGAACCATAATCGACTTATTATAGTAAGTCGCGAGGGAAGGGATTGCTGTACCCTTATCGCGACAACAATACCTCAGGCAGGAACCGCAGGAGGGGGTCCAGCCCCCCCCCTCCTATGTGACCCCGGTTGGGTCGTCTAACTAGTAGAAGTGGAGGATAGGGGTCAGAGGGGCAGACGACAGAGTCCAATGATGGGAGAAAAAAAAAATATATATATATATATATATATATCCATCGCGTAGTCTTGATCTACCTAGGAATCGGCCGTAGCCGATTAGGAACCGGCCGTAGCCAATTGAAATTCGGCTGGCCCCTGGCCAAAATCGGCTGCTTTGTTTGCAAAATCGGCCACTTTGTTTGCATNTGAGTTTTTCTCTCACTAAATAAGCTCGTTGTTAGTGAACCATAATCGACTTATTATAGTAAGTCGCGAGGGAAGGGATTGCTGTACCCTTATCGCGACAACAATACCTCAGGCAGGAACCGCAGGAGGGGGTCCAGCCCCCCCCCTCCTATGTGACCCCGGTTGGGTCGTCTAACTAGTAGAAGTGGAGGATAGGGGTCAGAGGGGCAGACGACAGAGTCCAATGATGGGAGAAAAAAAAAATATATATATATATATATATATATCCATCGCGTAGTCTTGATCTACCTAGGAATCGGCCGTAGCCGATTAGGAACCGGCCGTAGCCAATTGAAATTCGGCTGGCCCCTGGCCAAAATCGGCTGCTTTGTTTGCAAAATCGGCCACTTTGTTTGCATATTCGGCCGTTTTTTTTTGCGGCCGTTTTCCGGCCGAATTTTTCAGAAATCGGCTCTTTCGGTCGCGGCCGACCGAGGAGCAGCCTAGCCACGACGGTAATCGGCTACTCGGCTACGGCCGATTCATAATCGGCCACATGGGCCTCCCCCCCC